CTCAGAAAATCCTCTAGAGTTCATAAAACACCATCATCCTTGAAAGATTTTATTCACTATGCACCATCATCCAGTTCTCTTTGTGTCCCTTCTCAGCACACTAGTCATGTTGCTCCTAAGGATTTATTGCCTACTAGTCAGTCTTTTGTAATGAATATATCTTGTGATTGTGAGCCCTCATCTTATGAAGAAGCAACAATGAATCCTGGCTGGCAAACAACTATGACAAATGAGTTCTTAGCACTGCATGACAATCATACATGGGATCTGGTACCTCTACCCCCTGGCAAGAAACCTATTGGATGTAAATGGGTGTACAAGATAAAACATAGAGCAGATGGTAGTGTAGAGAGGCTAAAAGAAAGGCTGGTAGTGAAGGGCTATACACAACATGCAGGGGTTGATTATAATGAAACATTTTCCCCAGTCGTAAAGATGACAACAGTGAGAACTTTACTTGCCACTGCAGCTAAGAAACATTGGGATATTTTTCAATTAGATGTTAATAATGCATTTCTCCATGGAGACTTACATGAAGAAGTTTATATGGACATTCCCCAAGGTTTGGCTATTACTGAAGGTGTAGGAACTGGTCAATCTAGGCTTGTTTGCAAGTTGAATAAATCCTTGTATGGACTTAAACAAGCTAGCAGACAATGGTATGCAAAACTGACTGATGCTCTCAACTCTAGAGGTTATACTCACTCTATGAATGATTACTCTTTGTTCTACAAGAAATCAAGAACCTCCATTGTATTTGTGGCTATTTATGTGGATGATGTATTGCTCACTGGGACTGACTTAGTCGAAATTAATGACTTAAAGTCTTTTCTTCATTATACATTCAAAATTAAAGACCTAGGAAAGCGCTTGGAGGTTCTGTATACACATGATGGTATTTTTGTATCTCAACGAAAGTTTGCACTCGATCTACTTAAGGAGTATAATTGTGCTCAGCTTACTCCCCTATCTTCACCTCTTGATCCCCTGATCAAATTAAGAGCTGATGATGGTTCTTTACTCTCAGACCCTGCATATTATCAAAAACTTA